GCGGGAAAGTTCGCCTGGCGCGCGAGGCCCTGAGTTTGACCACGGACCAAGACAGCAATAATAAAAAGCGCACAGTAATTTTAAACTACCGATTTTCCATTCCTCCCTCCCCCCATAAAGCACACGATTTATTCAAGGAGCGACAGAAATTCGTTAAGGATGGAGAGCGTAGTGTTTGAGCCAGGGGCTGACGGGAGAGAAACCGGACCGCGCCCAGGTCCCGCTCGCTGTGCTTCGGAAGGGACCTGTTTTAGGCACACCCTGGTCCATCTCCCTGCGACTGGGCTGCGGGAAATGTGGAGGTGCGTTGTCTGAGACAGTGGCCTCACTTCCTTTGGCCATGTACCCAGGAGCGAGATTGCCCGGAGATCGAACTCAGATCTCCTGCTTGTGAGGCAGGGGTGGCGCCCCTGAGCTAAATCCCAGGCCCATTTTTAATTGTTTGAGGAACTTCCACACTTATTATAGTCAATTATTATGACTATAATAATTTACATTCCCACCACGTGTGCCTTTTCTCCACATCCTCCCCAGCGGTTTTTTGTTTTGTTTTGTTTGAGAAGGTCTCACTACGTAGCCCAGGTTGGTCTGGAACTCTTGGTGATCCTCCTGCTTCAGCCTCCCAATGCTGGGATTATTATCTCTTATCTTCTTGATAATAGCCATTCTGACTGGAGTGAGCTGCTATCTCATTGTGGTTTTTATTTCCATTTCCTTTGAAGATGAGTGATTCTTTTTCATGTATCTGTTAGCCCTCTGTCTAGCCTTTTTTGTTGTTTTTGGTACCAAGGGTCAAACTCAGGACCTTGCTCTTGTGAGGCAGGCGTGGTGCCACTGAGCTAAATCTCTGGCCCATCTAGACTCTTTTGAAAAATATTTATTGAGGTCTTTTGACTATTTTTCAGTCTAATGTGCTTTTTGAATTGAGTTCCCACTCTCCACCAAGGGGAGGATGATAAAATGTAGTATACAGACACACTGGAGTACCATTCAGTATTATTTGAAGTACTCTTTCAGTAAGTGAAACCCTGTCACTGGGGACAACATAGGCGAAGCTGGTTGTGAGGAAAAGTAGGTGGAAATTAGTTTGAGGAATGGAAAGTTCTCAGCATTATGTAGGGGCCTTTCCTGTGGTGAGCTGTGCTGATGGGCTCCTCAACACTGTCTCATCCCTCACTTATGCCACATGAAACAAGCCCGACACAAATAAATACTGTGCGATTTCACTCATGCAGAGTCTAAAACAGTTGGCCTCGTAGAAATAGAGCTGAATAATGATGGCCAAACGTGGGAGGCAAGAGGAGTGACGGTGTGGTGTGAATGCCTCCTAGGGTCAGCTCACACAGCACAGTAGTGTGACTGTGATTAACAATGATATATTTCATATCTCAAAATAGAAGAAAGAATTTTGAATGTTTTACCACAAAGAAATGACAAATATTTGCACTGATGGATATGCTAATTACCCTGATTTATTACGGATAATGTACATCTAGCAAAACATCCTATCCATTGTACTCTCATAAATTTGAATAATTATTTTTTTAAAGTAAGAAAACACCAAGGCTTTAATTTTTCCTTATAAAAATAACCCTGCTTGGCTGGGCGTGGTGGCGCACGACTTTAATTCCAGCACTCTGGAGGCTGAGGCAGGAGGATTGCTATGAGTTCGAACCAGCCTGGGCTACATAGTGAGTTCCCGGTCAGTCTCAACTACATAGTGAGACTCTGTCTCTAAAAACAACAACAACAAAAAACAAAAATAACCCTGCTTGTTGGGCAAATGGAGAGGACATACACAGTTGGAGATTTACCTGCTCCTGACACAAACCATAATGCCAAGGAAGTGAGATGGGGGTGAAGGCACAATGTTTTTATCTTCACAGCAGTACAATGATAAACAGAAATTGAATGGATTTAACGAATGCTAGGCATTCCCCCAGGGAAAAGGCAAGAGGGCCTTAAACTGACGCAGGACTGCTTACAGCGAAGTCCTGCTCCTCTCTGGCATGCCAGCCTGGAGCCCACAGGGCAGGCAGTGGGCACTTGTGCCCCAGAGGGCACTGAGAAAAGAAGCGGGCAGAGTCCTGGTAGGCCAGACAGCCTGGCTGTGGTGAGGCGGCTGCAGCAGCAGCATTGCCCGTGGAAGTGGACAGCACACTGTGCGTTAGTCCTCTGCACAGAAATGGCAAAGGGCTCAAAAGGGTGAGAGGTGAAGGCAGCAAGGCTTGAACAGTGCAGGAGGCTGCCCGACCTCAGACTTGAGCGGGCCAGAGTCCCGGCACGGAGCCTCACCGGGAGGCCTCCAGGTCTTGGGTTGCTCCACGATGAACTCCCACTTGTCATCATGGCTGAAGAGTCCAGGAGGGGCTGCGCTGCAGAACGGGGCACGGTGGGGAGCTGACCCAGCAGCCGGCCCAGGCCTCCGCACCGTCCGCGTGTGGTGTGTATAATTGTGTCTTTGAACCACTGCTGATCTGCCTTGCAAAACTGTTACTGGAGGCTGAGTGGGAAACCAACTTCCCTGTGCAGAGCAGTGCTGCAGAACAGATCACAGAAGTTCTCAGAGGGCTCTGAAAGCTCATCCGACATGTTCTCAAATACAGCAATCACCTCTGTTGTTGCCATATTGTACACCACAAAGAAAGACTCCGAAAATGGACCTGTGACCCACTGCGTCACCAGTTCTCACTGGTATACTTGACAAACAGATGGTTTTCATCCAGAAGCTGCATTTTCCACGTGAACAGTTGTCCGAAGGGTCAGAGTACTGGAAGAAGAGCCCCTTGGCCATTGCACTGCCATCCTGTTCTGCCCAGCCGCCACAGATGAACCAGCAGCTGGGGGTTAAGGGAGTCAATGAACAGACCCTTCTGACTGTGCTGCTGGACCTCAGGGAAGACAGCCATCACAGTGAGCAGGTCATCCCCATAGCAGGAGCGGCCAAAGGTCCCCACGGCGATGAAAGTGCCTTCAGGGGTTAGCGCCTGAACTGGTTTCTGATGTCCAAGTGGTCAGGGACAGTCTGGTGGTGGATTCTTTGAGGTTGATGGTGGAAACACGAGGATCCACTATCACATTGTCGGGTCCTGGCTTGAGGGGCCAGGCGAGGAATACCCAGCCTGTTCCATGTGCAACTCCCCAGCCCCACCCCCACCACACCTGGGGACCCCAGTGCCTGCTAAGTAATTATTGTGTCAATTAAAAAATAAAGCCAAGAGGGCCGGGGATTTAGCTCAGCAGTTTGGTGGCCTGCCTTGCAAGCACAAGGACCCGAGTTCGATCCCCAGTACCAAAAATAAATAAATAAATAAAACCAAGAGAGGAAGGGGACATAATAGGACTTAAGATGTGTTATGTACATGTATCAACTCCTCACGAGGAATGTAATCACTATGTATTGCAAATGTGTACTAACACAAGTCAGTATTTTTAAAATGAGAAAAAATGCCTGGCAAGCACAAGGTCCTGATCCCCATAGTACCAAAAAATAAATAAGTGGGAAAAATAATAAAGTGAAGAAGAAAAAGGAGAAGGAGGATCTTAGACCTTCTTGAGAATTTTGGGAAGAATTGGGGTTAGGAAGAGAAGCCTCAGCAGGCCCTAGGTGAGAGTGACAGGCTGGAGAGCAGCGAGGGTGGGGGGAACAGTAGGAGGGGGTTGGATGGAGTTGGCCTGGAGGAAGAGGACAGGGAGAGGGCATGAGGCCGCTTCTAAGGCACGGTGCCTAGGCAACCAGACCAACTGGTGCTCCCCTCTTGCTGGGGCAGAAAGCAGATGTCTCCCCAGGACTTGGGGAGCATCCAGCCCTGACCCCACCACCAGCCCCTTCCAGCCTCACACCCACAATTCTCAAACCAGACACCCCCAGGCCACCTCATGGAACATTTTTAAATCCATTTTTTTTTTCTGATTGTTATAGTAACAGACATTTATTGTATAAAATTTGGAAAATAAAGTATAAACTAAAAATCATACTTAAACCCATGACCTTATGAATAACCAGTGTAAGTGAACATTTAGAACGTTTCTTTTCTCTGGTAAGTGTATGTTTTTACTTGTTTTTGTTTTATTTGTACCAAGGATCAAACTCAGGACCTTGCACTTGCCAGGCAGGCAGCGGCAGCAATGAGCTAAATCCCCAGCTCTGTTTTTAAACTTTTATTACAAAACTAGAAACATACATATTTACAGATTAATAACTTGTTTTTATTTCCACTTAGCATGGTATTGTAGGTATTTTCCAAAGTCTTCACATAGTTTTTGAAAACATGATTTCTGGTGACTCTGACAAGGATAAAAATACACATAAAACTATTTTCAAAACTAATATATTTGAGCCGGGCGTGGTGGTGCACACCTGTAATCCCAGCACTCGGGAGGCTGAGGCAGGAGGATCGCTGTGAGTTCGAGACCAGCCTGGGCTACATAGTGAGTTCTCGGTTAGACTTAACTACATAGTGAGACCCTGTCTCAAAAAAAAAACCTAATATATTTGAAACTATCACTATATTGTCTATTTCCTTACTATTTTTCTCATTCTCCTTTTCTTTTTCTTTTCCATTTTTTTTTTAACAGTATCTACTTCTGCCTCTTTCTTTTTCCTTCTAGAGAATTGGAAGGCATTTACTCCATGCTTGCCAAAAAAAAAAAAAAAAAAAAAAAAAAA